CTCGAGTTGCAACCAGAGTCACGGAACGGATTAAGTTCATATCCCGAGGTACCACTGTATAAGGCCATTTTGCTACTAAATATATTATGACATCCACTCATATTTTTCTCTCATTAGGAAACTTTGGAAGGCAAACAATCAAAATAATATTTCTAACCAAATTCAAAATCGCTTTAATTGGAACAGAAGCAGCATTATTATTTTAAGGAGTTTTAAACTGAACTTTGAAAAATATTAGTGAATATCATTAAAAAATATTATTTGATAAATATATAGGAGAAACTATAAAGCTGAAACTAACCATTGCACAGAGGAGATCCTGTTGTTTCCCATTTTCTGCAATATCATAAACAAATATTATTCAATAAATATATAGGAGAAACTATACAGCTGAAACTAACCATTGCACAGAGGAGATCCTGCTGTTTCCCATTTTCTGCAAGGACAGGAAAGTTTGGGCTGAAAACCATGAGGTCACCCTTGATGCCAGTTTCTCCAGAAGCATTACCCAAATTGCAACCACGGTGCTTGGAATATGACCAGCTTCCCACATCATTGGCATATACTAGTGTAGCTGTACCAGGACCATACATCACCATGTCTTTCTGACAATTCAAAGCCACATACAAGCTGATAGCCAACAGGAACAAGCTGGACACTGAGCAGATGGCTATGATGAGGTAGGTATTGATGCTCTCTGCCAGAGTCTTCGGGTTTCCTCCTATTTTAGGAATATAGGCATCTGTCTGAACAGCTTGGGTGCCTGACACCAATGATATATTCATTGTAGCTGTGGCTGACAAAGCTGGCTCTCCATGGTCTTTCACCAGAACCAATAGGATATGGCTACTGCTCTCTGCTTCATCTAAGCTGGATGTTGTACTGATTTCACCACTGTGCAGCCCCACCTGCCAAGGCCCAATGGTCCCCTCATGCAACTCATAATTCAACCATGCATTGAAACCTGAATCAGCATCCAATGCACGTATCTTGCCCACCACATATTCAGCAACTACAGGAACCACCAGTAAGATAGAAACCTCTTCTTTTAGCATAATCACTGATGGTGCATTGTCATTCTCATCCACCACAAAAATTTGCACTGTCACATTGCCACTCAAGGCAGGCAGCCCAGCATCCTTGGCTTTCACTTGGAATTCCAGCAGCTTCAGCTCTTCATAATCCAGTGACTGCAAAGCATAGAGTTTCCCACTCTCTGAGTGCACAGATATGTAACTTGACAGTGGCCAGAACGTCTCATCCAACCAGTAACTGACCTGAGCATTCTCAGCCATGTCCGGGTCTGAGGCAGATACTGTGAAGATGTGAGCACCGGGTGGGTTGTTCTCCTTCACAAATATGGTGTGCAATTTCTGAGGAAAAGCTGGTGCATTGTCATTGACATCACCAATGGTCACTACAAAGCTGCTACTAGTTGACAGTGATGGAACCCCTTGATCCTGAGCTGTCACTATTAGCTTGTATTGTGTGTCCTTCTCCCGGTCCAGAGGCTCAGCCACAATCACAGAATAGTAATTCTTGAAGGTGGACAGTAGCTTAAAAGGTAGCCCAAGTGGTCTCATAGAGCAACTGACTTGCCCATTGGCCCCAGAGTCTCTGTCCGAGATACTGATCAGAGCCACCACTGTTCCTGGAGGAGAATCTTCCAGAACTGGCAAAGAGAGTGATTTCAATATCATTTCAGGGCTGTTATCATTCATATCCAACACTTGTATCAAAAGTTTACAATTTCCTTCCATTGGCGCATGGCCTTTGTCAATAGCTTGTACCTGAATTTCATATAAGTTGACATCTTCAAAGTCCAGCTTTGTTTTCAACTTGACTTCTCCAGTATTCTCATCAATTTCAAATGTTGTTAGGACATTTGAGGGAAACGGTGTTTTAAAACTATAAATAATGTCCTTGTTAATGCCTTCATCAGGATCTGTTGCTTCTAATGTTGCAATTAGGGTCCCAATAGCTGAATTTTCTGGTAAACGTATTTCATAAACTGACTGGTTAAAAACAGGTCTATTGTCATTAACATCCAGCACTGTTATCACAATCTGTATTGATTCTGTGAATTCTGGCTGACCCCCATCAGTTGCTGTAAGCAATAAATAGTGCAAAGATATATATTCTCTGTCCAAAGTCTTTTTTAAAACAAGCTCTGGTAAAATGATTTTATCCTGCTTGTTCTGAATGACCAGACCAAAATATTCATTTGGGCTAATTGTGTATGTAATAAGGCCATTTTTACCAATATCTGCATCAGATGCACTCTCTAGAAGGAAATGGGAACCATATGTTGTTGATTCTGATATAAAGATATTTAACTGATTTTTTGAGAAAACTGGGGGGTTGTCATTTATATCTTTGATTTCTACCTCAATATGGAACATCCTCAATGGTTTATCTAAAATCACTTCCAAATGAATAGTACAAACTGGGCTCTTGCTACATAGCTCCTCCCTGTCTATTCGGGAATTAACAAACAAAATTCCATTCTGGACATTTACCTCAAAATAGTCCCCAGGGACTTCAGACTCCATTCGGAACATCCGAGGCACCAACTCTGCCGTGTCCAGATCCAGATCTTGAGCAACGTGGCCTACAAATGTGCCCTGCTGGGATTCCTCCAATACAGAATAATACAGCTGGGAAGTTCCCATTTCCCAGGCAGTGTAGAGCAAGATCAGTTGCAGAAGGTGCCTCTTCTTCAAGAAACCTTGTTGCCAGACATCCATTTTAAATAAGTCTCATGAAGGACATTAAGAATTTTGTTATCTTCTGGGCTTCAAACAGATAAAACCTGTTGTTACTGTACCTTAAATGTTCAGTTCTGTTCTTGTATCAGGCAGTCATGATGGTTCATTTACTTGCTGCAGTTTTCTGCACAAAGGGAGGAGGAGCTCAGTTATCCAGTCTCCTAATACTATCTTTTATTAAACAGCGACACCATGTGACCAATATTTAAAGTATTGAAAAGATGGTGCATGTTTTTCTTCTTTTAAAATAAGATCCTTCAATTATTGAATTCTAAGCATGGAAATCTGTCAGCCCATTACTGTATAGAATCATCTCACTAGGTATCCATATGCCTATTACATCATATAGTACTCTGAGCATTAGTGCCTAAAGAATAAAGGCCACAAACTTCATGAACCAATTATTAAAACAGTGTCTTTTATATCACTGAATGATAAATGTTCCCACTTTTTACACTGAAGAAGTATTTATCTGAGGGTTCCAACTTTAGGACACTCACCTCCATCTCCCACAGGATATAGTTAAAGCCATTCTGATGAAGTTTGTTATATTTCAGCCACAGGTTTTTACCAGCTCGTGTGAGATGCAACCCATCTTGTGCCAGTCTACATCCAGATAACCCAGACCATGGACCAAAAAACCAAATCCCTCCTATCAACCAATCTGTTCACATGCAATATTTTTTCCTTTTTGGTCCCCTTCTATTATTGGAAGAATGGATAGGAATACCCTCTAAGCCCTCCGGGTTTCTTGAGCTTCTTTCTGATTTTCAATTCCATCTGATACATGAGTTCCTGCTCTTGGCCATATCATACATCCATACATAGTTTAGAAGGAAAGTTCCTGCATAGAAGACTTATCCTCAGAGGATGAAAAGGAACTGACGAAGCCTTGGAGACTGATGGAAGCCAGAATCTAAACTCAACAAGACAAGTGGGGAAGAGGTGGGCCCTGCTATCAGAGGACCTATAGTCCCAGATCACATTTCAAATCACATTTAGGACTCCCCTAAGCATCTTCTGAGTCAACAACAACTATAGTATCCTAAAAGTGAAATAGCGTGAGACTACATTGAAAGGTTAATTGGAAACAATGGTTTATTCAGAAATCACTGTTGCTCCCAAATAGTCTGAATTGAGCTAATGCAGTCCATCTAATTTATGGCACAGGCTTGAAACCTGGGATATAAAGCTACTTGGGTGGGGACTGGAAATCATGTATTTAACCTGTGACCAACTGCTAGAGCCCTTGTCTTTTTTCAAAGGACTTATGGTTACCTGGACCCATAGCTAGTTTGTACCCTAATCCTATTCTTCTCTTGAACCTGCTAGTGTGTGGAATTCTTTTGCTACCATTGCTGTTTCTTCAACTGTTGGTAAACCCTGTCTTCATTCTCCGGCTAGCTGTTGTCCGGCTAGAAGCAATTTCCTATCTGCTTACTAATCATAGGAACCCCTTTGTTGGAACAAGAGAGAAGAGATGATTTATCAATAGAGTTATGAGTCAGAGTCATTGGAACAGACAGCACAGAAGTGCTAGCAATAAATAACTCTTGGAAGTTGTTTTGTCCCATCCCTAATCCATGCTTTGATGAGACCACACACTTCATAAACTTTGGAGTTTGGTTTAAAAAAAAAAAAAAATACAGGTATGTAATCTGCAACTGTAAGTCTAGATCTTAGGAATCCTCAAAAAGTTGAGAAATCCATACTCATAATGCGCAAAGTATTAGGATCATGTTAGATATTACTATTTGCAAATATTGAAGTTATTCAATATGCCTTCAACAATACATTGAAGTTATTACTTATTTTATTAAAATCTAACAATTAAGATAGGGCTGCTATATCTGGGCTGGAAAAATCTGGATTAGGCAGCTGTATGATATACACTATTTTTGCTCAAGCTAATGCCAATTTGTAAAAATATTTACTACTTTGCCTTGCATACACACAAAATAAGACTTTGTGTGTGATTAAGAGCCATGAAATCCAATGTTAACTTGTCTTCTCAAGTTTTAGCGCTCTCACTAAGTGATTGTTTCTTCTATTAGTTTACAACATTTATCTAGCCACAATCTATCCAAGAGAGGTTCTCTAACAGAAGTGCATTTTCTGTCTCCAAAACTTATACACCCAACTAAAATGCATAATAATGAGGATTTAGACTGAGCACTATATATTTCCACATTTCAAAGCCAATGCAGTTGATTTTATAGTGAATGCCCTGCAAATAAAACCACTTCTTATTCTGAATCTGATCACGAATAAGAAGCAAAGTGCAGCAGTTTGAATTTGATATTCTTTTGCTGCAAGATATGCCATGCTAGTATACAAAAATGCCTGCTTTTCTCTTATTTTATTAGAATAAATGTAATTTCCTCCTGATTTCTTTTTAGCAATCTATTCTGTACACAGATTTTACTTCTCCTTTTATCTTATTAGTAAAAGAGGACTAAAGATCTGGACTTCAAAAATCCAGATAGCTGGTAAATGGCAGCAAAGATTTAATTTTCTGCATCTCTGCTGCCATATATCAGGCCTTTAAGAAACAGACACCACTGGGATTCCAGGAATGTTATTTTATTGTTCTAAGGCAGTGTTTCTTAAACTTTTTTCTCTCAGGACCCCTTCCCACTTTTAAAAATTATGGAGTACCCCAAAAAAGCTTTTGTTTGTGTAGGTTACATTTATCAATTTTTACTGTACTAAAAATTTAAATTGAAGCATTTGCTGTCACTACCATTTCTCACAATTGTTTAATGGGATTTTAATATTGTATTATTTTTCAACATAGGCTAGCAAATAATTTAGATTTCGTGGACCCCTGTCAGCCCTACAAAGTAGTCCAGACAAGAAGCACAGCCAGATGAACTAATCCTACTTAATTGTAAGGTTACATAAACAGAATCTTGCAAGATTGAAAATAGTTCTCCCTTCCTCTCTTTTTAATCTCTGGAAAACTAGGGAGGGTTCCTTCTGAAATGCTTCCCATGTTTTTCCCCACTTACAGATTCAGCTGCCTCTTATCAAACCATTGCCTAGGCTGCGGGTCTTTGTCCTGCTCCCAAGGTGATTCCCACATATCATTACAATCCCTAGGGCCACACTTTAAGAAACACTGTTCTAGGGTACAGTAAAAGAACTTGAAAGCCTGTTCAAGATTCTCTCTGTCCCACCTTACACAAAACAAAATCAAGATGGGGTTGTTTTGAGTTTCTTTCTCATGCTTGCTTAAATCTCTGGACTGTGCAATCTTTTCTGCAATTCACTCCTTAACATGTTTTTCGTAACTTCCCAAAGGTCATCTCTAAATTTCTTTATGCCATATAAAGTGCTGGTCCCAATACTTGAGCTGAGATCTCATAGCTCTACATAAGAAAGATGTTTGTACTTCTGGCAATGTTTGTTAGACACTTTGTCTCTAAGCAGATTGCATTTTGGGATCAGTTTAGATATAAAAATTCTAATGCATTGACAATAAATGATGGAAGAAACCTTAATATATTGCCTTTCTTGACTAGAATGGCTCTGAAAAATGACCATTAATGCTATATTCACTACTGGTGAGTGGGATATAATGTTTTATTAGCCTTAAAATTGCTGCCTTATAATTTGTATGAGCAAACAATTCAGTTTAGTCAGTTTAATCCAGCTAGTCAAAGGCCTTTTCTTTTCAAAAATTCCACTCGGTCATCTAATTTATTTTCCTTATAGATGATTTTTGGCATGTATTTTATATTCCCAATTACTTAAATCAGACAAAAAAAACTATTTACTAAATATATTTAATATGTTATTATCTTGATAATAGCAATAGATGCTGTTTCACTTTTTCTGCAATCTCCATAATCTCTTAGAGCATTCTTTGCCATATAACACTATGACCATTTCCCTGACTGATTTTCTGCTTCAAATATATTTAAAGTTCTTATTGGTACCCTCATTGGCATATGCTCCTCGAAAATTACTTTTCTTTCTTTCTTTCTTTCTTTCTTTCTTTCTTTCTTTCTTTCTTTCTCTTTCTTTCTTTCTTTCTTTCTCTTTCTTTCTTTCTTTCTTTCTCTTTCTTTCTTTCTTTCTTTCTCTTTCTTTCTTTCTTTCTTTCTCTTTCTTTCTTTCTTTCTTTCTCTTTCTTTCTTTCTTTCTTTCTCTTTCTTTCTTTCTTTCTTTCTCTTTCTTTCTTTCTTTCTTTCTCTTTCTTTCTTTCTTTCTTTCTCTTTCTTTCTTTCTTTCTTTCTCTTTCTTTCTTTCTTTCTTTCTTTCTTTCTTTCTTTCTTTCTTTCTTTCTTTCTTTCCCAACATCTGTACTCCTGTCTGTTCTCCTTCTTAGGAGAGGCTTTCTATTTCTTGAAGGAAAGCTTCTTCACTTTTACAGCTTCCTGGACACTATTCATGTTGGTCACTTTCTGGATCTGGCTGACCTTTTCTATATTGTGGGTACATTCTAGACAAGTTGCTGTTATTTTGGATTTAGGTAACATCAATGCACAGTGAAGAAATTTCCTTTGACATCAAATTTTTTATCAGTCCCCTCATTTGGGGGAAGTTTCTCTGTTGGTACTCAAAGATGACTAAATTGGACCCTGCTAGTTCTTTTCCACTGGCCAACTGGGAGGCCATGAGTTCTTGCCCCGCCTTAGGCGCAAAGCCAGCTGGGTGTCCTCGGACCAGTCACTCTCTCTCTCAGACCTAGAAAGAATGGCAAGCTACTTCTGAAATCTTGCCAAGAAAACTGCAGGGACCTATCCAGGCAGTCGCCAGGAGTCAACGTTGGCTTGAAGGCACACATACGCTTCCAGAACCACCTGTTCTAATCATATAGGTAATCATATAGGTTATCTTAATTTGGGGAGATTGTTCACCTAATTTCTCTGCCAACAAATTTGGCAGACAATTTGGAAAAGCCATTTGTGTCCAGCTTTAAATATTAGAATTCCTTATTTTATTTGCTTAAAGAAGCTTCTTTTTACACAGAA